AGGGCTTCGGGAGCAGCATCCTCAGGGGGCTTAACTTACAGGCCGCCAATGAACACTCGACCTTTGCGCTGGAGCGAGGACAAAGGAATTCCACATCTCTTTCATCCACGAGGAACCAACACAGCAAACAGATGCAACTTTTTTTTTTTTTCTTCTCACATCCTCAGGTCTGTTTGTTAAACTACACTTTATTTCTCCACGAGGACACGAGGAAGGCGAGTTTAAGCTACATAGTGTCCAAGTACAGAATAATAAAAAAGAGAATAATAGCATATTTCTATTGCCCATAAAACATCCCTAACAGCCTTCACGGATTTTCACCTAAACTCAATTTCAACACATCACAATACTGAAGGATAAGATAGATGGCACTGTCAAGGTGAACTCTTCGAATGCTTTCTGCCGCAGTGCTTCTTCTATCACTTGAAGAGAAAGAGGCCCCAACAATGTCATGGCGGACGTCAACCTTGCGACTGGACACAATAGATCCAACCCTGATCTGTGGCAACGTTTTGGGAAATATGCTGCAGATCCAGTGACGAGTTAAGATATTATGAAATCTGCAACATTAACAAGCCCCACCATCTCTTTTTAATAGTTTAAGCAATTAATAATGTGATACATTTGGAGAAGTCACAGCAGGTATTTAAACCTGCAGTGTGGCATTTTTGTCTCCCTCTTCTGGCAGCGAGAGAAACTACACAAACACTGTCGATGTCAGCCTATTATGTGTGGCATTTCTGACTGTTGCGTTCTCCTTTAGACTTTAATCCTTCCTCTGAATGCCAGATTTGTTTTTAGTTTTGTTTTTTTACCTGGAGCATCAGAATTTTGGATGCTTCATAGTTTTTTTTTCCACTTCCTCCTCCAGTTGCTGCCCGTTTCAGCTCTTGCAAACCGCTCATTTGTCAGCTAGTTGACTTTACGTATGCTGCACCACAATATCACAACAGACTAAAGATTTCAAACTCTGGTAACCTGCGTAATTTAAAGAACTTTACCTGCAGCTGATCAGCATCATGCAAACTAAAACGTAAAACTCCCACACTCCAGTTTTCAGCAGTTCCCAGTACACACAAGAATAGCTCCACCTGTCCTGTCTGCTGTAACCTTTTCCTGTTTGAGGAGCAGGTGGAGTGTGATTAAAAGGTCAGAACATATTAAACTGGGGTGTTTTGCCCTTCAACTGCAATATCCCTGGTTTATTTAAAACCTGCAGCTTTTTGTGTGTGTAATTTCCTGCATCTGTCTCCACTGTGCTGTCTAATAAAGGCAAAACAACAACAACAACAACAACAACACCCCCCAAAAATTAAATAAAATCCTTTAACGTTTTGCTGGCTTAGTTAGTTTGGATATTTATCACATGGCCTGCAACATCAATAACAAGAATGCTTATTCTAATCCCAACATTAGCCTTTTTTTTGGTCATGCTGAGGCCTGAATCAGCCCCAAACTAAAATGTTCTCTGGTTTGTCAGCAGCTGGTCCTCACACGAGTGGCTCAACTTGAACACACAGACCTGCTCCTGTCCGATAACATCTCTCTTCCGCAGCTGAAGCACTTTTGATATTGTGTTTCATCTCAGTCAGGAAGTTCATCTTTTTCCATTGTCCATCACGTGCTTCAATAAAACTAATTTGCAGGCTTCTATCATGTTTCCATAATTACTTTCCTGTACTAAGATACCTTTGTCAAAATTTGTGTCTGTGCCTCCTTGTTTCTTTATCAGCGCTTGTGTTGTTTTTTTTTCTTTACTTGGCATATCCATCTTCTGCATTTATATGTATAAGCAAGTATGTTGACACTTGAATCTTGACCACAGCCTTACAGGATGACAGATGTGCAACAGCTCTTGACTGTACTTGATGCATGTTCTCGTTTCTGAAAAGCCCTCCATCCATCTTTCTGTCCAAGGTACATGCGAGCAATGTTCAACGATGACGGATGTACTTAAATGAAAGGAAACTGACTGATCCCAGCACCATCCACGTTCGCTCTATCCAACAAAAGCACAGTGTTAAATGATGCATCAGCCTCGACAAGATCATGTCACTGCTTTATTACATGTTTTCTAATGCGATGCTGATAATTCTTAACCTTCGGAGCATCAGCGTGGGGCTATATTCATTACCGTAGCTTTCCGGCTGTTATCCTGTGTGTGTTGTAGTCTACTTAATGCTCTTCTGAAGCAGCCCCCATTGAACTGTTGCAGAGCTGCATGTCAGAAACATTAGTACTGATGCAGCTCTGAGTATGATGCACCTTCCATGTAATATCCATATTGTCTAACAGTACTGTAATGCAGCCTTTGATTTACTAAAGCTGTTTGTGTGTGCAATTTTGCTCATCACACTCATCCTCTAGAGGCTTCCTGTGGTTATTGTGCTTCTCTGTGTGCGCAAACTCAGTGTTTTGTCATTCCTGCATCTAAAAGACCACTTTGATACTCTGCTTGGTGTTTTGAAGTCACAAACTTCTCGTGTGATGCTCAGATGATTGCAGAAAATACTCCCCTATCAATCTTGTTTGTGTGTGACTGTGTGAAGAGGAAGAAGATAAAAATGAGCCAAAAGTAGTGACATTAAACCAGCGCCTATGTGTTTGGTGAGAGCAGTTCTCTGTGTGTGGTGCATTCATCTTACTCAGGTGTACAGTGAAACCCTGACTGTTGGTAAATCAAGTGCAAGCCCCTCAGTCGGATTTGTCTATGACAGTCTGAGGGCCAACAAAGCCCCACTCAGCTCAGAAAAATAGGAAAAAACCCCAGCAAAAATAACAGCAAATACCTGCAAAAATGATGATATTTCCAGCTGATCTACATACATTAAAACAGTGGAATTTATAGTCACACATTGTGAAGGAACAAATAATTATCAATGAAAATACTAATAGTTGATGTGGACTTTTTTTTTTTATTAATATAATAAAATATTTATAAATGAATACTTCTTTCTGTGACTTTGATATGTGATATATATAATTTAACAAAAATCAGGGTGTCTGTTAAATTGCAGTTACAAAAATGTTAATAATAAAAAATATTTACCATTACAATCCTTACAAAACACAAGTTGTCTTTCAAATAACAGCAAATGTCTGTCTAATGACATTTTCTGCTGATCTGAATACAGTGAAAACTGTATAAGTTTATAGCCAAACATTGCAAAACAACAAATTACCAAATTTCTGCAAATGTTTAAAATACAGACAGTTGGTGTGGATTTTACTTTAGTCTGTTAACTGTTAACATATAAATTAACATTTTTTTTTCTGTGGTTTTACTAGTCATCGTTTGTAAATAAATAAAATGGGGAAAATCGGTAAAGTAACAGTAAAATGTACAGAAAATTGCTGTTAAACATGTTTTTTAAAAACTACTTTTAATGCTTTGTTTAATTACAGATATTTTCTAGTAAAGAAAATATGTATACATTTACTTGTTGACTGTAACAGCAAACAAAGAACAAAAAACAGGCCCAAACTGTTGATAATGTCCACAACAAAAATCAGTATTTTTATAGTAACAGTAGTTTGTTCTTTTACAATGTCTAACTGTAAAAATCTCGCTGTTTCACTGCATTTTTTCAACTAAAAATATAATTTTATATAGTTATTTTATCTAATGATTTTTCTGTTATTTTAGCAGTTTTTTTAATGCTTCAGTAGTTCACTGATTTCAACATATTTTTTTCTGGCAACCTTACTGACAGATTTTGAATGTTTTTCCTAGATTTGTTTATTTATTTTTAAACTTTAAAACCTTTTTTTTTTTAGGGTACTGAATTAATATTAAGAATGTTATCAACAACATATCAATAAAATTGGATAGAATGTCCCTTTTCTCTCGTCATTTAAGCAGCATTTTTGCTGTAAATGATTGAGTAGTTTCATCTATTGTTCTGCACCACGAATAAAAAGTTGAAAATCTTCATCTACAGCTGCAGATGTCAGACAATAGATGTGAAGTGCACAGTAGGTTATAGCTCTGAGGTAGAGGAGTAAATTAGCATGAAATAGAGACTCTCTCTCTCTCTGTCTCTCTCTCTCTCTCTCTCTCTCTCTCTCTCTCTGAACAAATCCTATCAGCGGAGCAGCACAGCTGTGTGGGCACAAAGTTGAAGGAGAAGCGGCGGAGCTGCAGCCGACACATTCTGCTCAGCACCACGGACAGCGAACGATTGGACGCTCGAACAAAACCTTGTTATCGATATTGGAGAATTATTGGAGAATCGGAGGACTGAATAAATAATAATGAGTTTTGCTCGGTGGATCTATCTTCTAATTTAATCTGATTTCAGAGAGACTTTCCCATTTCTCGCCAAAGTAAGACTGTTGTTGTCCTGGTCTCTGCGTAAATCCTTTCGTAAATGTCGCTTTGTAGCTGGAATATATCAAGGCAAAGGCAAAGATTTAAGAAACTTCTGGCAAAAGGCTTAACCCTTAGGGTATAGCAAACATTCATTCATCCCCTGGAGAGTGTGGTGAAGTACATTTGTCGTGCGTAAAAGCGGTGGCACTGATCTGAGACTCCAGCTGGTGTGTCCGGTAAAATGAGACCTTAATATTGAGTGAAACTGAAAAGGCGAAGACAGAGAAGACGAGGCATCATCATCTGTGGCTCAGCGGCTTGTAGAGCCCAATTAGCGATACAACTCTATTTGAAAACTACTCACGAGAACAACATACATGGTAGCACATCCTTCTCTTGGCTCATGGCGCACGACAAAGCTTTTCCAAACTCACTATATTCTCAGCTATGGCCAGGAGCGCACACTTTAACGCAGTGAGTCTCGTTCTTTCTCTTTTACGCACACACACACACAGAGTAAAATCTGAGACAAATCAGATTCGTTTTCAACTTTTTCATCTGTGCTGTCTGCTGATTCTCATCCAACATGTTCCAACGTGAGCACGGGAAAGTAACAGGGCGGAATTAAAGACTTTGTTTTGAATCAGTGCAAGCAGGAGGATTCAAATCTGCATGTGAGCTGTGCGCAATGGAGACCCTGGACCAGAACCACTGGTATCCCTTCTCATCGGACTTCAACTCCTCTGTAGCCGCTCCCTCGCCCTTCCTCTTCTCCTACCCACAGCTCTTCAACCTCTCCTCCAATCTGTCCACCCAGAGCGTCCCCTTCCAGGGCAGCAGCACCCTCATGACAGCGGTCATCTCCCTCACCGTGTTCGTGGTGGGGCTGACCGGCAACACTCTGGCCATCTACGTGGTGCTGCGCTACGCCAAGATGAAGACCGTCACCAACATTTACATCTTGAACCTGGCCGTGGCCGACGAGCTCTACATCCTCGGACTCCCCTTCCTCACCACGCAGAACGTGCTCTCCTATTGGCCCTTTGGCTCCTTCCTGTGCCGCGTCGTCATGACCGCGGACTCCATGAACCAGTTCACGTCTATTTTCTGCCTAACGGTCATGTCCATCGACCGGTACCTGGCTGTGGTTCACCCGATCCGCAGCACCAAGTGGAGGCACCCTCGGGTGGCCAAGGCGGTGAGCGCAGCAGTGTGGGCCGTGTCCTTTGTGGTGGTGCTGCCAGTGGTCATCTTCTCTGACGTGCAGGTAGGCCTCCACACTGTCAAAACCTCAAGATAAGACCCACAAACACAGAGAGATGACCCCAGCAGGCAAATAGAAAAGTCAGGCAGTGATTTAAAGACCCTACTGGTAGCTGTTGTAGTTCCCCAAACCAAAGTTTTGGTGAAAGTTTTTAAAGGTATTTCCCAAAACTTTGAGACGTCCCTTTAAACAGTTTATAATATCATCAGCCTTGTTTTCCTTTCATACAATTAGCGTTTTAAAAAACAAAATCTACGTTGATTTGAAATTTTCTCGAGGTAAAGAGAAAAAAATTGGAAAAACTAAAGTTAAGTTTGTTTCATCGGTGCACAGACGGACATTCCAACCATCTCCTTGATTATGGTGTTTAAATGGACAAAGCAGGAATGGATGTTTTCTTGTTTTTTTCAAATCCATGCAAAGCCATATTAATCAGAGATCAGCTTTATTGGACAAGTATGTACTTGTTTTCTTTTCTCTCAAAGTACTCACACAAAATAAAACATGCATTCATTTTAAATAGGAGCAACAGGATGGCAAAAAGAAAATGAGTGTTTAAGTACTACGTATAAATTTGTGTAATGGAGCTGGTTGGAAAGGAGCTGGGATGTTTAGTGGAAAATTACAGTGGACCACAGTTTACCGGATATGCAGCTACAATAAATACAGTTAATGACACCTTATATACATGAGGTAGGTGGACAACAGTGCAGTGAAACAGAGAGCAGCGTCTAATGTGTAAAAGCAAATACAGATCAAGCAAAAATGTCGGCACCAGCAAATTGCTTAATGACTCAGTGGAAGGAGGCTGACATTACTTGAACTTACTTCATTCATGCCTCCATGCACTATTGTGGCATTTTCATTGTCTTCAAGGTCCTAAACATGGGGATGTAATGGAGTACAAAATAAAAGTCATCCAATAAAACGCTCACAGCTGTGAAATGTTGACCAAGTAAAACAACAGAATTAGGTTAGAAAGTCAATACTTACAGTTGCTCTGTCTGGTTTTCTCAGTGCAACGGTTTGGAGGGGAAGGGGGGTTCGCAGTCTAGAAGTGTGGGGTTATATAAATTCCTGGGTGTGTCTAACAGGGTCACAGGTTATGCAGCGCACAGTTAGGAGTGGTGAATTCATGTGAAGTCAGATGGGTAGCTTCAAATGGTGATTTTAAGACATTGTGTGCTCATATTCAAAGTGTCAAAGTTAAAAGAAAAAAATGTTTTCAAATCCATTCCCTGTTAGTGCATTCAAAGGAATTGTGACATTTGTTGTTTACACCAATTAGCGATAACTTTAAAACCCCCTGCCTCGTAGTGTGTACGTCCACCTTGTGCCTCCAGAATAGCTGTGAACCTTTAGGGCTTTGACGTGGGACTTCTGAGGATGTCCTGTGGTGCTGGGATGTTGGAACTGGATCCAGGGTGGGGCCTTTGTGGACCAGCTTGTTCTGTTGCATGCAGTGGATGGATTGGGAACAGATGAGTTTAGAGGCTGGGTTAATGTCTTGTGCTCTTTGTCATTTATGCTTAAACAGCTAAAAAGAAAATGTAAAATCAGCAGCCAACTTTAAAATGATGCGACCACATAAAGGCACATGGCCAAATCATTTCAGATTTGTTCCAATATAATATTAAAAAAAAACCCATTAACAACACTTGGATTCAACCAGCTGATTAAATTATAAGAAATGTAATTGCAGTGCTCCTCTCTGTGTGGACTATTTGCAACAAAGCAGCATGCAGGAGAGCAGCAGCAGCTCATGGCTCTTTACAATTATACTGCAATTTAGTGCAGCTTTTTTCTGTTAACACACAAATTAACAGACAGCCAAGTCTGGAAATATCTTTCATGATGGAAATGTGCCTCCTCAGCCCACTCCCTGACTGCAGAGACACAAAAACAACTGCATTGAGACAAAACAACAACAAAAATACAGAAACAACCACAAAGAGACAGAAAATGAAAACAAAGAGACATAAGAGCCAGAACGAGACACAAAGCAGCCATAAAGAGACAGAAAATGACCATAAAAAGACAAAACAGCCACAGAGACAAACAACCAGAAAGAGACATAAAATGACCTTGAAAAACACAACAAGACCACAAAGAGCCACAAAACAACCACAAAGAGACAAAGAATAACCAGAACACAAAATGAACATAAAACAGACAAAACAACCACAAAGAGGCACAAGATGACCACAGAAAGATACAAAACATGGTCACAAACAGCCAGGAATCGAGACAAAATGACCACAGACACACAGCAGCCATAAAGACATACAAAGTGACCACAAAGAGACGAAATGGTTTGATAAAAACACAAAATAGCGACAAAGAGACACAAAAAGGACCCCAAGAAGATACAAAATGACTACAAAAAGACAAAATGGCCAGAATGAGACACAAAACAACCATAAAGAGACAATAAATAATCCGAAAGACACAAAACAACCTGAAAGAGACACAAAACAACCACAAATTGTCCAGAAAGAGACAAAAAATGACCACAGAGAGACAATAAATAATCAGAAAAAGACACAAAGCAGCCAAAAAAAGACACAAAACAACCACAAAGAGACACAAAAAGACCACGAGAAGATACGAAATGACCACAAAAGGACAAAATGGCCAGAATGAGACACAAAACAACCATAAAGAGACAATAAATAATCCGAAAGACACAAAACAACCTGAAAGAGACACAAAACAATCACAAAATAACACAAATTGTCCAGAAAGAGATAGAAAATGAGCATAAAGAGACAATAAATAATCAGAAAAAGACACAAAGCAGCCAAAATAAGACACAAAACGACCAAAAAGAGGCACAAAGTATATAGAAAGAGCCACAAAATGGCCATAAAGAGATAAAACAACCACAGAGACAAACAAGTAGGAGACAAAAAAAAATTCCCCAAGAAGACACAAAACAACCTGAGACACAAAATGACCACAAAGAGACACAACACAACCACAAAGACAGACAAAAAGGACCACAAGAAGTTACAGAATGACCACAAAAAGACAAAATGGCCAGAACGAGACACAAAACAACCACAAAATAACACAAATTGACCAGAAAGAGGCATAAAATGACCACAGAGAGACAATAAGTCATCAGAAAAGCAGCCGCAAAAAGACACAAAATGGCCATAAAGAGATAAAACAACCACAGAGACAAACAACCAGAAGGAGACCAAAAAAAAAAAATTCTCCAAGAAGACACAAAACAACCAGAAAGAGACACAAAATGACTACAAAGAGACACAACACAACCAGAAAGAGACACAAACTGACCAGAAAGAGGCACAAAGCAGCTGCAAAGTGACAAAGAATAAGCAGAAGAACACAAAAAATGTTCACAAAACAGCCAGAAATTGACACAAAATGACCTCAAAAGAGAAAAACAACCCCAAAGTGACAAAAAAAGTACCACAAACCAACAATGAAACAAGAGCTTTGTAGTTAAACACTTTTCTTGTGGGCCTCAAAGTCCAATATTTACTCCCTATGTTTCACTTACTGCTCCCACTGAGCAGACGATGACTGAATTCTTTGATTTGCTGTATTTTTTTTTCAATCGTTACCATTTAAATTTCCTTCATTGGTCTTTAGGACACATTTAATTCCTGCAACATGATCTGGCCTGAGCCCAAGGACGTGTGGTCCACAGCCTTCATCCTCTACACGGCCACGGTGGGCTTCTTTGGCCCGCTGCTCATCATCTGCCTCTGCTACCTTCTGATCATCATCAAGGTAAGCGTGTTTGTATGAATGAGGCTGATTAAGCAGCTCATGTATAAATTCATACTGTAATCTCAATCAACATAATGACAAGTTTCATCCTCCTTCCTGTAATTTTTTTTATCGTCATCACCGTCACAATCACCATCACATTGGTCCTCTTTAGCGTCGTCATCATAATTAAACGGCGTTTCTGCCGCAGGTGAAGTCTTCGGGAGCTCGGGCCGGATTCACCAAACGCCGGCGCTCGGAGCGAAAGGTGACTCGGATGGTGGTGGTGATCGTGGTGGTGTTTGTGCTCTGCTGGCTGCCGTTCTTCATCATCAACATGGTCAACCTGGTGGTCATCATCCCGGAGTCCAGCGCCACCGCCGGCATCTACTTCTTTGCCGTCATCCTGTCCTACGCCAACTCCTGCGCCAACCCGCTGCTCTACGGCTTCTTGTCTGACAACTTCCAGCAGAGCTTCAGAAAAGTAGGCTCGACATCACGTTAGATTGAGACGATGAAATGCAATTTAGCATTCAACCTGAAGAGCAAAAGAAGCAGTGAAGTGCTCAGTATGAACAGAGTGGTATGAGCACACCACGTATAAAAGCTGTAGATAACAATATAATGCCACATTTATGAACACTATGACATTTATACAGTACATACATCGCACTATGAACACGAAACAATAAACATGGGATGACACGGAGATTATATGCTGTATAAATAACATCTTTGAACTATAAAAAACTAGACAAGGCTTTAAGAACTATATCATGAAATCCCCCTTTATGCCTTCTTGCTGAGGGTTAGCTGTTAGAAGATCAACAGTGCTCTGATGTCTGTCTGGTCAGTATGAAGTGCATACACAGCATAAAGCCCCGAAGCAGATGGAAACAACAAGAACGGCTCTGAAAAGCAATAAAAAGTCCACAACAAATGGTGTGGACAATAAATGACACAATAAATGAAAATGGTAGCACATAGATAGCAGAAGGAGTGGAGAAAAGCTGTTGTCAGCGGACATCTTATAACTACATTCTTCATCCGGTCAGGCAGACTAGTCTGTGAGCAGCGATTACCTGAAGGCAAAGCCAAAATGTCTATTTCTATAAAGTGCAATAGTTTGAAACACTCTCCTCCCTCGGTGCTGTATTAGATTACAGGTGGACAGTTGGCGGCTTTTCCTCTTTCCTTGAGAGTCTCCCACCACATGTCCTCTGACAACTTGACAGATGGTGAAACATCATTTGAAACAAGCTGATTAAAAGGCCAAGATATGTAGAAATAAAGATTTTCTGACTAATCAGTGATCAACAGCATGTACAGTGCTTAACAAATGTATTAGACCAGATAGATAGAGAGAGAGACCACCCAGCATCATGAAGTGCTTTAATTCACACTCAGCTCTCGACTTTTTAACATTTTGAACATGAATGAGGAATTTCAAACTTAATTTAACTTTTTTATACCCAAATTAGTCAGAAATTAATCAAGCACAACATTCAACCATTAAAACAGAAACATCTCTTCAGGAATACAAGCAAATAACTATAATCTGACACCTTCATAATGTGCTTCATTATTTTTTTTGTTTTTTGGGGAGTTTTTTGTAAAAGAAAGTAACTTAAATTTCTTGGACAACAATAATAGTTATATTTTAGCCTTAAAAATATAATTTCGGTTAAAGACCTTCTACGTGCTGGTGTATTAACCATTACAGAAACATAAAAATGATTTTGGTAACTGCCAATTCTGTTAATATAGGGCAAGCCTTACATTAGGGTGGTCTAATACAGTTGTTAAGCACTGCATATCATACACACAAAAAAAAGCCAGTTTTGTTGTTTTTTTTTGCATGCATCTCTTTTAACTTTGGTTGAAGCTCAGCTAAGGCACGATAAGAACAGTGTTAAGTGAGGTTGTTGACTCCACCGCGTAACAGACAGTGTTAAAAATGAGGCTGCACTGGAAGAGCTGTAGGATAAATACAGAATCATTTATTATGCATGACTGTGCACCCTTAATTTTGTTCACATGACGGATAGTTCATCTAATTAATCACAGAAATAAATTATACATGATTAATTTTGCTGATCGTAAAGACTGATGGCAGCATTTATAGTTCATCTGTTTAAGGAAGTGTATTAAGCGCAGGCATGCAGACGCTGCATCGACGCTGATTAATGTGTTTAGTTATCACGGGCATTCGGGTTGTTTCAACAGAACAAACTAACTTATCCGTGAAAGCACTGGCCGTATAAAACATGGTCACAAGAAAGTCTTTTATTGTACAGTCGGGTTGTTTCATTCTTCTCCCAATCACGCTAAGCTAACAGTTTGATGGTGGAGTTTGCTTCTTTGACTCACAGACCCTCTGGAAGTCCAAGGACGACCATAATGCCGGGCTCGAGTTGCCTGAGCAACAGCCCGTTTGCCCTCTAAAGCTGACTTTCTATAGGGTATGTGCACAAAGAGATGCCCCACTGTCATGTGACACTGTAGCATCAAGTCTTAGAATCGCTGGTGTTGTGTGAGAAAAAGGGTAATGATGAATGTTATCACCAATGGGACTCCAACGTGAAGCCATCATCTGTGTCACCTGCCTGTCTATTCTAGCACCGTCTACATCAACAAAAGTAAAGCATATAAGTTTATTTCCAGTTTATCTTCCAGCAAATTGTTTCAAAGTTATATAAGACTAATTAATTGAAGCTTGTAAAAAACAAACAAACAAACAAAAAAAACCCCTTCAAATATGGCATATTTTCACTTTCTCAAGACCTTCAAAGTGCAGACAAGAAATTCTGTGTTTATTCTGTTTCCTCATGGTGCCGCTGATCCCACAAGTATTAGGTAGTTTAGCCAAACTCAGTGTTTAATATTAAAATGTATGCAGAGATGAAAGAAAACAGGATTTTTTTTTAGCAATGTGGATAAGCTGAAAAGTACAGTGTAAAAAAAAAATTCTACAATTTTACAGAAGTTTTCCTTTTTGCATTACAGATTTTTACCCTATTTTTGACATATACAGAAATATCAAT